ATAGATATTAGAATATAATATTATTAATGTATCTGTGTGTTGGCAGTGAACAGAAAGGAATGACATATTCGCAAGAACAATACATTATTCTTTCTTCACCTTTGTTTAGGTACTGTAAAAATATAGATGTCAATGTACCGTAGCCAATACAGGAAACAACCGCTAATAATAACACCTAGTAAGAAATGGGCATCATCAGATACAATTTAAAAGTCTATCAAAAACCTCTCGATATCAAAACATTTTATAGAGGGTACGTTATCAGATACAGAACAAAGATACCCCACAATAGAAAAAGAATTCCTTAGTATAGTTTGGGCAATAAAATACTTTCGCCCCTACTTATATGGAAAAAAGGATTCCAATAAACAATACAAAGGAACACACCTAAACAATGATATTATAAATAATAAAAAGAGGTAGATATCGCACTGGCACGCAAAAATTGTTGCGAACGAATTCAGACAATTGTTGTAATTTTATAATAGCTATCTCTTTCTGTACCATACTTTCCGTATTATCTGTCGCACGTAGTTGAAAATGACATTTAAGTACATTTGTAATAAGAACGCAACAATTTTTGGACGCCGCTTAGTATGAACGTAGCGTATCTTCTTTATAATATCATTGCACCTAAAATATTGTTTTTAAAAACCCTTTTGCCTTCGCCCACAACCTAATTGATACCTAGATTATTATTAGATGAATACTTAGATTTGCAGTGGTTGGGCAACGTGTCGCGGGTTTGATTCCTGCACGGAACAACTGTTTGTGTGATCCACAGATTGTTGTTCCGGATGTCATGTGTATTTGAACTTGTATGTTTGTAAACGCACCCACGACACAGGAGACAATACTAGAATGCGTTATTATTATTAAGTAATTTTTTTTGTTAAAAAGAACACGATGAAGATGTTCTTTACAAAGTGTTTGTTTTGTTTTTAAATGTGTCTCTATTAAAAAAATCATATAGGTCAAGGTCATCTTCAGGACTTCTAGTTCTAATAAAACTGGTCCTAAACTGTCCTAGGCTTAGGTATCAAAAATCATGAAAGATCTCTTGCGTTGGTTCGCCGTCTGAGTGAGGTTACCGGAGGGAGGTTCTAACTCCCTTCCCTAAGCTACTCCCCAATCCTGAAATCCATGATTTCCACAGGGGATAACTCCTCTGGTTGCGGGTGTCTATGGGCAGCGCCAAGTGCGCACCATCAGGTGATACGGCAGTAGATCTGCCCAATTATCCCCCTCTCCAATCTCCCCAATGCCTAATCCCCGAATCCCCAAACATCCTCAAATTTCTAATCCCCAAAAGGCCGGTAACGCCCTTGGAACGCCTTGGTAACTCGGTGTTTTAGGTGTCCATGTGCAGCACCGATTGCTTAACATCAGGGGGCTCGCTCGTTTACCGGCCTATACCATAGGCCGGAGAACCTAACTGGTAACCGGAGCAGGAGAAGGAACAAGGTGGTTTTTAGTCAGTAAGAGTCTGACACTCTCTCCCGCCTCACCCAGGTGGGAGCAGACATTCGATGATTTTCCCCCCTTAAAAAAAATACCATAAAAAATGAATAATTATACATCTGCTTTCAGCCTTGCGACATGCCTACGTCACGACAAAGTTGTCATCTCTATTCGTAGACACAACTCTGTTCCCATATTTCATCAAATCTGTTTCAAGTTCGACGCAATCTTTCAGATCTATTTTAAACATTATTGCGTCAGGTAGTACCGTCATTGTTATATTTAAAATCAACGCTATGCTTAAGAACTTAAGGTTAAAAATCATAATGACTGGAATAAATAATTTAGTTTATAGAGCACGTTAATAAGGTTGATTTTGTAAAATTACGTTTATTTTTTTTATTTTATCCTTGATTCGCATTGGGTACTAGGAAACGGTGTATTAGATTTATTGTCGGCCTACCTACATCTAACATTCTGAATCATTTAAAAATGGAATAAGTTTAAAAAATACGACCAATGAGTTTACTACACTTTGATTTTTTTTCTTTTCGTTTACTCATTTTGTCGTACGACTTAAGTGTAGTCGCGAGCACGATTAACTATATAGAGCAACGGATCTGGAGCTCGACTTCTAGCACATTTGACTATTTTTGAGATGTTTTACAGACTGCCTCGTTGGCCGAGTGGTCGCAAGTGCGACTGCCGGGCAAGGGGTCTCGGGTTCGATTCCCGGGTCGGGCAAAGTATTACTGGGTTTTTAAAAAAAAATCTCAGTAGTAGCACGGAGTCTGGAATTGTGCCCGGTATATGGCAATAGGCTCACCCCCTATTACATGGGGCTCATAACATAAATAGTGAAAAGTGGGTGTTACTTTATATAGTGGTATAAAAATGCACCTCTGCCTACCCCTTCGGGGATAAAAGGCGTGATGTTATGTTATGTTTTAGGGAGAAAAACAGAAATATTATGTAGAAAAATCCAAGCCGCCTGCCAAACGAGGAGATAGTGGCAACCCCATCTTTTGAAAGGGTCCAGCAGTGGATCATCAGATGATAATGCTCATGATGATGTAGAAAAAAAAGGAGTAGAGCTAGAGTTACGCAAGTACGTGTTTATTTTACGCATAGGTAGGCCTACATCTATCTACATTTTGTGATTGACTGACTGACTGACTGACTGATATAGTGATCTATCAACGCACAGCCCAAACCGCTGGACAGATTGGGCTAAAATTTGGCATACAGATAGATGTTATGACGTAAGCATCCGCTAAGAAAGTATTTTTGATAATTTCCACCCCCAAGGGGGTAAAAAAGGGGATGAAAGTTTGTATGAAACTTTGTCAGTTTTTAACTGATCGGGTTGAAATTTGGCTTGCAGATAGATGTTATGACGTAAGCATCCGCTGTGAAAGGATTTTGATAATTTCCACCCCCAAGGGGGTAAAATAGGGGATGAAAATTTGTATGAGACTTTGTCAGTTTTAAACCGATCGGGTTGTAATTTGGCATGCAGATAGATGTTATGACGTAAGCATCCGCTTTGAAAGGATTTTGATAATTTTCACCCCCAAGGGGGTAAAATAGGGGATGAGAGTTTGTATGAGACTTTGTCAGTTTTAAACCGATCAGGTTGAAATTCGGCGTGCAGATGGATATTATGACGTAAACGTCCCTTTAGAAAGGTTTTTGAACATTCTCACCCCAAAGTATGATACTTTGCCAGTTTTAAATTGATCGGGCTGACACTTTGCATGCATAAATTTACTATGACATAGGTATCTCCTTAGAAAGGATTTTGATAAATTCCTCCCCTAAGGGGATAAAATAGGGAATGAGGGTTTGTATAAATCTTCTTAGCCATTGAATTTAGAATCATTGAATCTTTTTAATTACATTCGGTAAAACGATGATTTGGGACCTGGGTAACGTTTGATAGTTTTTATCACAAATGTCCCACGGGAACGGGAACTATGCGTCAATGCCCCGGGACTGTACTGGTAAGATCTCTGCGGGATTATTTATTTATTGAAACTACGATAAATCATTTCAAAATAGGTAAATCTTACTTGGGCACTGAATTGATTCTGTCAGAAGTCATTAATCTACGCGGACGAAGTCGCGGGCAACAGCTAGTCTATCTATATAATTACACATATCACTGTCAAATTAACACACACAGCAATAAATAAAAAGTGACGAATTTCATTCAATAAAACTTTTGGCAAACATCAAACGTCAACCTGTCTGGCTAGTAAGGCAATCCTTGAACTAGTAGGGTTCAACGATCATACAAGCCTACCTATTTACCATTCACACGAAAACCACCCCCAACTAATTTGAATTAAGTGCTAAAATCCCCTGAAAAGACCAGCCCACTATTTCTACTATTCGCACGAAAACTACCCTTAACAACCCCGATTTAAGTGTTAAAATCCCTTGAAAACATTATTTAATAATTTTCTCTTTTATCTGTTTTGCGATTTTCGTTTTTATTGACAGTAAATTTAAGGTTGGTATTGCATTTGTATTGCGAAGTATGCCCAAATGACGCTTGCATCGCTATCCATATTCGGCATTCATTGTATTTGGCTTGCCTCAGTCTTAATTTTGATAGCGTGATAATAACTCGAGTTTGGATATTGTAAGTAGATGCTTCATTAATTTTTTTTAATAAAACAGTTAAAAAATTTCGAAAATCTGTTACCTAAACTTTTAATTCGATAGGATAAAGAATCCAAATTCAACCCCATATAGGTAGTGTAAGTAGGTAGGTACATTACTTAGGTATGTATCAATTTGGATTTTGCTTTTCAGTATATCTACGAAAAAGTGAATGAAAAACTGCCATTGAATAAAAAAACGAAAGTGTGTTACGAGAAATCTTATTATAATATTTTTTTAAAGTATAGAGGCTATAAAATACGAATATTTATCTAATTGTATCTAACTAGTACACGAGTACGCAAATGAATGTAATAGCATTCAGAATTGATGTGCGCTTGACCGAACTTCTCAGTTCTCCAGACGGATTTAGCAAATCGATGTTTACAGAAACTCTATGCACGTCATCTACAACAATAAAGTAACGCAACAGATAAATAACATCCGCGCCAGCACGCGATCTCACACGAGATTCATATTACAATCGATCTAAAACAAAATAACAAAACAGATATAGGTACATAACCTCAAAAATAAAAAGAAATCAATTTTCCTCTATACCTGTCAAAGACAAGGTTATTTTTTTAAATAAATCGTTGACATTAGAAATTAGTCGACGTAAATATAAAATAGACTCCAGAAATAAATGTTACATCCTCTCCAGCGGATCAGTGCCAACTTTTCACGACCTTTCTAGTCAGTTAACATCCAAAAACCGCGCTAGATGGTCAACTGAGAAATAATCTGTGCTAAATAATATATAAAAAAAGTGTTTGATAAAATAAAATTAAAAAAGAAAAATAATTTGACAGTAACTTTCGCGCCTAATTGGTTTTTACTTTTTTCGTGCAGTGACAACAAGTTATACAGCCATGGGTGACGATTATCAACCTCAAGTTATATCAAGGATAGAAAATATTACGGAGCAAGATGATAAAAATCTAGCAGGAGCCACAAAAGAAATAAGGAATGAATTAACAGTTATTATACCCGAAAACCCGTTCCCAGACATCGAAGTTGATGCGTATCCACCGTTAAAATTCTCGTGGGTGATTCCGAAAAAGATTGCAGCCATGGCGTTTCCCAGGAATAAAGAGAATTTGAAGTTTTTAATTAATCAAGGTATTACGCATTTGGTCACTCTGACAGCTGGTAAGAAGCCTCCAGTGGATGATATGCCGAGGTTGAGGTGGACTGAAATTCCCGTCGAAGAATTCGAAGTGCCCAACGTAGAACAAATTAAACAATTTATCGAAGTCTGTAAGAGAGCCGACAAAAATGGAGAGGTCAGTGTTCAAATAAATAAGTTCGTATTTATATCTGACTCGTAGGCGTGACTACTACGTTAAGTCTTGGGTTCGTTTCCCGGGTAAGGCAAAGCATTGTTTAGTTTCTCGAAATGTCCCAATAGTAGCACTTCACTTCATCTGTTCACCTCTGCTTATCCCTGCAGTAATTAAAACTATACTTACGTATTTTTTTAAATAATGCTAACCCAAAATAGACAAAAAAGAACCGGCCAGCGACCTCATTCGTCACCTGTTGTCTAATGAACTGTGATGTTCTATTTTTAAATTACAGAAATGTCAAACTTAAATTAGGTCGTCGACATTTGCATTGCAAAACTTTTCTTGGTACTGTAATACAGTTTTATCGTAATTTTTAAATCATACACTAGAATTTTTGCAACCGCGCGTAGCAGAGTTGAGCCCTTGATACGTTGAGCAGCAATTATCAGTACTGCATCGCGTTTATGCAGTCCATTGTACATAAACTAATGGATAAACTACGGAATTCTAACACTGTCCACTGAACCAATTTCTATACTACCATCACCACAAAGAAATGCTTACTTTGATTCTTAAACAGCTGAAAATATAATACGGAACAATGAAATGAAATAATCAAGGAAAATTAGTAGCTATACATAGACTCATAAGTCACGTTCACAGTCACACACGTTCGACACACACTAGACATAAATAACCAAAATCTATTTTACATACATTAGTCTTTGGGTGTTTACCTGAACGAGAACAAATTATCCACATCTCGTCTGTGCCAAATAAATAACGAGTACCTATCATTAAAATCGTGGCTTAATGCCATCGTTATAGAATAGACAAGAAATTAATTAACATACAAAATTAGGCCATGAATGCATATATTTCATTATTTATGTTATGAGTCCCATGTAATAGGGGGTGAGCCTATTGCCATATACCGGGCACAATTCTAGACTCCGTGCTACTACTGAGAATTTTTAAAAAACCCAGTAATATTTGCTCGACCCGGGAATCGAACTCGAGACCCATTGCCCGGCCAGTCGCACTTGCGACCACTCGGCGAACGAGGCAGTCAATTCTTCAAAAATCTTTGTGTGCTCCACAAATTGTTGTTTCAGGTTTGGGTTAAAAAAGAACATTCCAAAAAGCCCCATATTATTGTGTCCAAGGGCCAGTAGTCTCGTCCAGTTTCTATAACCTATCTATCTGTAGATTTGTTACTAGAGATAGAATTTTGACATGAGCTCCATACAAAATGTGTCAAAATTCTATCTCTAGTAAGCAAATCTACAGATAGATAGGTTATAGAAACTGGACGACAGAACGCCCTGGTTATCTTTCGTTATTCGATAAAAATGATCATGAACTTGCCTTCCCACAAACAATATTAAGTGATCATTTATGTGAAGAAAAGAAAATGGTAAGTGTACAAATCTGGACTTTATTGGGAAGCCTATGTTTAGCAGTGGACGTCTTATGGTAGTAACTGATATTATTGTGACAAAAGTGGCAATCATTACTACTAATGCAGTGATTTCAGTCTTCAACTGCCTAATAGGTCAGTCTTTGACAGCCAGTGACTAAAATGTTATTAAAACATTATTCTAACTCCGCAGGTGATGGGCATCCACTGTCGCCAAGGCAGGAGTAGGTCGGGCGTGATGCTGGCGTGCTACCTCATACACTTCCATCGGTTCGAGCCAGACCAGGCCATGAATTCCATCAGGATGATCAGGCCAGGTGGGATATAGCTTATAATTTTATACTTCATGTAAAAATCATTGACTGCCTCGGTGGCCGGTGGTCGCAAAGCGACTGCCGGGCAAGGGGTGTCAGATTCGATTCCCGGGTCGGGCAAACATTTACAGTTTTAAAAAAAATCTCAGTAGTAACACGGAGCCTGGAATTGTGCCTGGTATTTGGCATTAGCCTCAACCCCTATTACATGAGATTTATAACATAAATAGTGAAAAGTGGGTGTTACATTGTACAGTGGCATTAAGTGCCGTAATGTGCACCTCTGCCTACCGTGATGTTAAGTATACGTAGATAAAAGCCGTGATGTTATGTTATGTAAAAATCATTATGGAGATAAATGGGAACATTTGATAACTTACCTGAGGGTTTAATATGAGTTTGTGGTACGTTTAACGAGATTAAAAAATTAAAGCGTTCGACGCCCTGATTGGTTGATTCATTGGAGCAGGCCAATCAGAGCGCACGTTTAATTTAAAAAAAAACTCCACGTCTACGAGTGTTACACTGAGGTAAATTTTATGTCAGTAAAAATCAGTCATTTGAACTTCGGTCAAAATGTTTAATCGAATAAAATTCCTGAATCGATGTTTGTTTGTGACTTACACTCAAAAAATCGATCTACACGTTTTATATGTCGCGGAGAGCCTAACGGGTTATCGCCTCCGGCTCGACGTGCAGGAGTAGGAACGGGGTGGTTTTTAATCAGTAAGAGTCTGACGCTCCCTCCCGCCTCACCCAGGCGGGAGCAGTCAGTCGATTATTTTCCCCCCTTAAAAAAATACGTTTTATATTGAAATCGGTTTTTAATTTTGGCCTTCAGTCAGTGATATTATAACAAAAATTATTTTATTTTATGCTCTTTCTTACATCTTAAAATATTTATTGTTGAAAACAATAAAAGTTTTAATTTTGTTTGTTTTGTGTTAAATTTAAGAAATAAAATCACGAAACGAAATCAATTGTATTCTGTATTAATAACAATTATATTAAATGTAATATAAAAATATCCCGAAACTGGAACCGGAATTTTCCCGAAAAAAATGTTGTAGTAAGGAAGTCTCCACTTTTTGTTTTTGTTCCTTGAAGTTTAGGTAAATTAGCTCACCTTTTTCCGATCACTGGTGATAATCCCCTTCGTCTTCCCCAGAAAGGGCATTTCAGTCTGAGGGCGAAAAGGATGTCACGTAGACACCAACGTCAGATCTTTCTTGGCGACCTATGTACATGGTTGTCACAACAACAATAAACGGACGTAATGAACGGAAATAAATTATTATTAGTATTATGAAAACGAAGTGGGTGGAAGACTTATGGGAGCAGGGTGACATATTTGGCAGGGTAGTATGAAATGAAAGCAACTGTAAATCAATCTTGCTCAATTAACTGACGGGACTTGAGAACTGATAATCTTATACTCTTATGCCGGAATATTGAAACGTTACTCAATTTTAAGTCGTGCTTAAATATCGTGCCATCTCTGTCATTTTACAAAAAATTTGTAGAGACAGAACTATACTTGAGGACGACTTAAAATTGAGTAGCGTTTGAGTATTCCGACAATATACTATTATATAAAGCGGAAGAGTTTGGTTTTTGTTTGTTTGTTTAAACGCGCTAATCTCCGTAACTAAAAGTCTGATTTGAATAATTCTTTTTGTTTTGGATAGTGCATTTATCGAGGATGGCTATAGGCTATACAACATCACGCTACGACTAATAGGAGCTGAGCAGAGCGTGTGAAACCGCACGGAAGTAGCTAGTAATTAAATATTCATAGTTTACTACCTACTTATTTCTTTAACGCCTATTTTCAACAACATCTTCTAGTTTTTAAGAAACCCTTAACCTAAGATAAATGTTAAAGGAACTATATTGATTGGTTTTCACAATGCATTAAGTGACACCTAACAGTGCAAGTAAGGTAACACTATTTAACTCGTCGAGTACCGGTTTTATAGACACAATTAAAGAACAATAGGTCGCGGTCACCGGTGACCGCTTGGTGTTTGACAGTTTAACTTCAAATTACGAGCAGGTTTAGGCGTGGTTGGTGAAAACGACCATAGATTACTTGAGTCTTTTTTAAACGCCCCCGGACTATAATGATATCCTGTATCGTCGGTTTAAACCTAGCTAGTTTTGTCTACCTGATACCTGCCGCATCTTTTCGCCATCGACCCTCACGATAGCATATTATGTATCCCCGTTATATAGATGGTTGGCAGGCCACAGCTGTGCGGTTCTCACGTAGCTTCCTGCCTCGCACAGCAAAACTGTGGAATGATCTGTCGTCGGCGGTATTTCCGAACCGAAGGTCGTATACCTTCAAACCTTCAAGAAAAGAGCTTACTCCTTTTTAAAAGGCCTGTGACTCTTCTGGTGTTGTGGGTGTCCATGGGCGGCGCTGATCACTTACCATCAGGTGATCCGTCTACTCGTTTGCCTCCTATTCCATAAAAAACCTATAACACAAATTTTCACATACCTACACAATTTACAGACTTCAATTCTCAAATGACGCTATTAATCGTGGCAGCATAATTATTGTGTTGTGCGATATAAAATATCTAAAAAAACATAATAGTCAGTATACTCTCGCTATTGCGTTAATCAACGTTCTTGTTCTCAAATCATAAAACATTCTGAATTTAAATTTCAAAATTTCATATTTCGATGCAACTGTATTAATTTCCGGCTGACCGTTGACGTCACTTTGTTATTTACGGCCAGTTGCTCGCTACGCGCATTACGTTGAAAGGTCTATTATAAACTTTGATGAAATTATGTTTGACATAACGATCTCCCGTAGAACACAGAAAATGACTATTTTCCACATAATTTAAAAGAAAGGTTTTATTCTCGGTCGGGATAAAAAAGGAGACATATTTTATGAAACACCAGCTCTGTGGTTATAATAAATACGGAGAATATTAGATTAGGTTTCGTCGTGTGAGTGAGGCCCCGAATCCCCGAATCCTCCACAATCCTCAAATTCCCAATTCCCAAAAGGCCGGTAACGCACTTGTAACGCCTTGGTGTTTCGAGTGTCCATGGGCGACGCCGATTGCTTATCATCAGGTGATCCGTCTGCTCGTTTACCGGCTTATGCTATAAAAAAAACCATGGAGCTCGACATTTTGAGATTCTAAGCTCAATTCGAAAAATGTCTCGGCAGTCATAATTGTGACCACTCAACCACGTATTATAATAGTCTCATTTTGTACAAATACATTTAAATACCTCGCCGTCATCGAGTAACTACAATCAGTTGAGCGTTTCAAGTCAGTAACTACTTAGTGACTAGAATCTCATTCAAAATTCGAACAAAAAAACCGTTATTTTAAAAACTTAACACCGTTTATTTATGATTCTAGGGTCACTGGACGCGGAGGAACACGAGGAGGCTGTGGGGAGGTACTTCGAGTACTTGACAGAGGACAACCCTCTGAGGTTCGGAGTAAGCTGTGACGTCATGGAGGAATTCATACAAGCCGCCAAGGAAAGCACTAAGAAGGTGCTCGATTGATGATACTGTGATCTGTTTTGTTATGTACCTGACATAAATATATTATTTGTTTGTTATTTTGTTGTTTTATTTAATGGGGTAAAGGGGCAAGACGGACGGATCACCTGGCGGTAAGCAATCAATACGATGAATACTCGCTATATTTGAGGAATTACAAGATCATAACCGGCCTCTTGGGGGCCAAATACTTACCTAGATATTCCAGTAGCGCTATTTGTATCGATGCATTTTTATAGTAAAGCTACTTTCAAAGTTCAAAGTAGGTATAGTAATATTTTAGAAAGAGAATGCCAAGTGCTCTATGCAGTAGACTCTCAGTCAGAGACCACTCATTATTTTTATCATCATTTAACTTTTAACATAAATAACTATACCTGCACAAATAGGTACCTATAATTAATTTATATTCATTTGTACAGGTATAATTAGGTTACAAAAGTATTGGTTTACCTATTTATTCACGAAAATTATGTTTTTTTATGTTATTAGTTTTCCATGTCACATTCAATGCCCAAACACACAAACATGCAAGCCGTCCGATCGCATCGCGGAGAACCTAACGGGTTACCGGGGCTCCGGCTCGAGGTGCAGGAGAAGGAACGGGGTGGTTTTTAGTCTGTAAGAGTCTGACACTCCCTCCCGTCTCACCCAGGCGGGAGAAGATACTCGATGATTTATCGCCCCTTAAAAAAAGCCGTCGGATCGCCAAAATAAAAGATTGGAATACCTACTGATAAGACTGCCTCGTTGGCCGAGTGGTCGTAAGTGCGACTGCCGAGCAAGGGGTCTCGGGTTCGATTCCCGGGTCGGGCAAAGTATTACTGGGTTTTTAAATATTCTCAGTAGTAGCACGGAGTCTGGAATTGTGCCCGGTATATGGCAATAGGCTCACCCCCTATTACATGGGACTCATAACATAGATAGTGAAAAATGGTTGTTACATTGTACAGTGGTATAATGTGCACCTCTGCCTACCCCTTTGGGGATAAAAGGCGTGATGTTATGTTATGTTACCTACTGATAAGTATCTCACTGAATACCACAGTTAAATACGAAATATCTAAACAAAACTACAAACTTATTACACCCACATAAAAGTGATCTAATTATTTTCTAATTGACATTTCACTTGGTATAAATAAAACACAAAATGTCGAATGTAGCCGTGCCAATGTGGCTGCCAATATTGGCTGGCTGACCACCAACTGCGGCGTAGTTGATTAAAAATAAACTCCCCCAATTCCTTTACCCGCTGAGTTTATCATAATTAAGTGTTCAACAATGAGTACCGTGCCGAAACGACCCAATGTGAAGTTGGCCAAACTTTGGTACAAATATAGATCGGAACCTCAAGAAGGACAGAAGAAAGAAGAGCCCGAACATGAAATTGTTCAAGAGAAAAAGGATTATGAATCGTATCCACCATATAACTTCTCCTGGTTCATTGATAAAAAAATAGCGGCAATGGGCTGTCCACAGACTGTCGAAAACCTCAACTATCTTGTTGACGTCGGGGTCAATCACCTCATAACGCTGTCACCAGAGAGAATCCCGCCAATTTTGGAATGCGAGAAAAAGTTGAAATGGTCAGAGATCAGGATCAAGGAGTTCGGAGTGCCGACTTTAAAACAGATTTTGAAGTTCATTGAGATATGTGAGAGGGCAGAGATGAGAGGAGAGGTCGGTTATTTATCCAAAAATATTGTGCTACTGCTACAGGTTTAGTGAATTTTCTACATAATTGATGTTTATGCCACTCACTAGATGGCGTTGCTTCGTGATGTGTGAGCCTGCGACATGTTAATTCTAATGTGAAATTGTAAAATTCCGTTAACGTAAAAAGCACACGTACCTAATACGAATGATACAAGATAAACGAAGAGGCTTGCATATTAAATGATCATTCGATTCATATAACAAAAAATAAGAATGACAGATAAGTATCCAGACCATAGTGGTCTCCCTACAGTCTCAACTTTCTAACTCCAACATCCTCATTTCTAGGTTATAGGAATCCACTGCAGACAAGGGCGAGGAAGAACTGGCACCATGTTAGCCTGCTACTTAGTGCACTTCCAAGATATGGCACCAGAGAGGGCAGTGCTCACCGTCAGGGTGAAAAGACCAGGTATTCAGTTTTCTGATACTTAATAATATTAAGCATTTTCTGTTAGCAGAGGCATACGCATTTTTTTGGGAAAATCATTCAATATCTTCTCCCGCCTGGGTGAGGCAAGAGGGAGTGTCAGACTCTTACTGACTAAAACCACCCCGTTCCTACTCCTGCACTTCGAGCCCCATCCATGGTGGTCTGATGGCTCTTACGATAGTAGCGCTCGGGTCTGGTTCTGATCGGGCGGCGAGCTACCAATGCTCGTCCGCAGGCCGGGCCAGCCCAGAGTATCCTTCGCGACGGCTGGGTTGTGAGGAGACAGTGCTTCGCTACGTTTCGCTGTTGCATACGCAATAACGTGCACTTCTTTGCTATTTGTATGATGAAATGATAATGGGAGCCTGTATTGCCATAAACTGAGCACGACTGACTACTGAAACCATGGCCGGCAGACGAACTTGTGAATACGGAACTAATGATACAAGTCAGTTTCCTTTAGAAGAAGCTTTATAAACAAAATTAAGTAAAGACTGTCTACCGTTAAAAATATTCGTCATTTTCAGGTTCCTGCGAAACATACGAACAAGAAAAAGCAGTTTGTCACTACCACGACTGTCTACGAGGCACAATCGAGAAACCAGACTATCGACTAGTCGAGGACAAAGTCTACTTCGACTTCTCCATGAAGTACATGTACACAGACGAAGATTTCCGCAAAAAAGAAAAAAAACAGGATGACGTCACAGAAATCCAAGATGGCGACCACAAAATTGTCAAACTCGGCGACCCCAAGGAAGAGAAACACGTAAAAATAAAATTACCGAAGAAAAAATCAAATGCCATGGTAATCAATCACAAGATTTATTTTTAAATTTCATATTTACAGTTAATTATGTTTTTGTATTTATCTGAGAATAAAATAATGATTATTCAGTTTTAGTTTAGTTTACTTTTATATTAAGTATTCTTTTATTCATAAATATAATTTCCACATACTCTTTATTATACAAAAACAAACTAGATCAACAAGGCAGTATGTTGCATTTATAAATGCAATGTTAGATACATTATTTTTCACATTAACAGTAGTGCCCAAACTATTATTATAACTAAATAATTTTTAATGTTTGATAAAAGTACTAGTAATGTATTAATACATTATATCTACAAGATATAAACAAGCATAGTTTTTACTATTATACTTCAAAATATATAAATAAAATAGGTACAATGAACAGATGAAATCCATACACCACAGACTAAATATCCAATTTATTTGTATCATGTGAATATCATCAAAAAAAATTTAACAAAAAGAAAAAGATTACGCTTTCCTCTGGATATGGCAACCGAGTAGCCCAGGCTGTTGCCACGGTCGTGGGACTACGGATATGTTGATAACGTTCTGATCTCTCTTTACTTTGACATTCACTTGCTGGCCGACCGAGTGAGACACTATGGTGTTGATCTGCGACATGTCTTCAAAGTTGTGATGATTTACTGATCCAAATTGGAGGATTTCATCGCGTTCTTGTAGACCCTGAAATAAGTATGTAAGGAAATTTAGCTTTGTGAATAAATAACTTATAAGGATCTTATAAGAAAGAAAGTAATTGATCAAAAATACAGTAACAATAATTAACTGCCTCTTTGGCCAAGTGGTCGGAAATGTGATTGCCGGGCAAGGGGTCTGGGGTTCAATTCCCAGATTGGGCAAATTATTATGGGATTTTTAAAAAATTCTCAGTAGTAGCATGGAGTCCGGAAAGTCTCTAGCAAGGAGTTGTGCCCAGTATATAGCAATAGGCACTCACCCCCTATTACATGGGATTCATAACATAATAGTGAAAAGTGGGTGTTATATTGTATAGTGGCCTAATGTGCACCTCTGTCTACCCCTTCAGGGATAAAAGGCGTGTGTTATGTTACAGTAACAATAGTTTTTTAATTAGAATAGTTCATTTAGACTTTATGATTCATGAAACAGTTGCTTGTCGGTATATTTTGTAAAAAATCAAGTAACAGTTTGGTGACCCGATTAAATTGCTAATAAAAAAAAATAAAACAAAAATAAAAATAAGATCATTATGTCCAAACTATAATATACTCACAGCAAGGTCTGCAGGCGATCCTTCACTAACGAAACCGACTACCGCAAAGGCTTTTTCTTCTTCAGCGACAGGACGAGGAGCAGTGTCTCCAGCACTAGCTCCATTAGAATGTCCATTGCTGGTAGCTGCCACATTCATAGACGGCCCTTCACCGTTAGAACCAAGAAGTTCTCTATGAACTTCCGCCAAACCTTTTTCGATCATCTTCATAAGGTTCTTGTGATCATTTTGGAGACCTGTAACAGTATAAAATAAGTTTTTAGTCTTTTGGAATTGTGAATACAGAGTGTATGTATGTAAAACAAAGTTAAATGCTGCTTACATAATTTGCTTAAGTTTATGTATTAGTTTGAACGTAGACATGTTAAAAATATTGATGATAATGATAGTGGGTAAGTGACTCTATGGTCCATAGCTGTGGTGTATTAGTTAAAGATTGCAATATAATAAAGCATGATTGCCATATAACATTTCTTCTAATTTTATGATCAAATGTTTGTTATTATGACTGTTGCGGAATCAAAACTGCCGAGTCATTCCTCGAGTTTTATATTAGTTAATGTTGAGAAAATGTAAGGACGTACTTACAAATAATGCGATGTCTTGCATGCCTGACCTTGTAAACATCGATGTCGTTTCGAGGGTAGCCCTCGGAGTCCACCAAAGAATCGTGCATCCCAACATTATTCGTTTCCAATATAGCAGTCTGATCTCGAATTTCACTCTCTATTTTATCTTTGTCTTGCATCAGTTTCATCACTCTATCTCTAGCAGGTCCAGCCATGTTCAATCCAACCATTTTTCACTGGTACTAACAACTTTTTATTGTTTTTTTGTTTATTTTTCTGAAACTTTTCTGATTTTTTGACAATTCGTAATACTGCCAAAAAATTTGATAGGTGACAGATATATTTAGTGTTGCCATACCAATAACGTGTTATTTTATTAATAACCGTTATGCGTTATTAATAAAATAACACATTATAAAATAATTATATATTAATAACGTTATTCCGAAATAACTAGTTATAAGTTATAACCACATAATGTACTTTATGCCAGTTTGGACTACTCGGATTTGTACATTTTACGTTATTTACGAAACCATACACGTAATAAGGCTAACCTATACCAATACTAATATTGGTAAATTGAAAGGGCTCTCTAATAAACAATGAGAACTGCGTAACTGCACTGTTCTCTATGTTTCAACCGCAGGGCCCATGTGAATAGGTTTTAAATCTACAAATGCATATCTCGTATTGTTAGTTTTTTTAAGGCGACAAAGTATTATAATAAGCTCATGGGCCTGTTCCTGTTCCTAAGACATTCATTATTTATATTTCTATTGGATCAGGGGTCAAACAGCAAGCTTGTCTAATACTGCAATAATTCATAATCTTGCCATTTGCCAGACCCGGGTTTCGAACCCGAAATCTCAATTTCACAAAGTCGTGTTACAGTGTCGTATTATATTGCTCTAACAGCTTTAATAAGGTACGGTATAATGTACTTGTATTATGTATTCATATATTATCATAAATCATGAGTCCACAATAAACTGTACCCCACACGACACAGGTAAAGATCGAAAAAATTATAAGGAAATAAAACAACTGGATAATTGTTACTTTTCATTTATTTGATAGGTATTTTGTTATGAGATTTTAAACGGATGTAATGCAAAGATATCCTTTTATACAAAAAATATCATAAGCCTTTTAGTAGATTTGCCACGATTGTACATAACAAATATAACAATGATTTAAATAAAAAATGACCAGATTAATAATTTTTCATAATAATAATAATTAAGCTTAATAACAGGACAGATTTATATTAAAAACTTACAAATAAATGGTGAGCGATGGTTAACATTTTGAAAGAGGTTACATTTTAAAGCAATTATTTCAATAAATATCAAAATATTCTTAGCAGTTTATTAAACAATGTCTTTTACGACAGTGTACTTGATGTACTTATACATAATATATACGTCATCATGATTAGATTTTTGATTTTTTATAAAAAACATCAACCACGTCTGACTCTGGCGATAGTCAGGCATGATTATTAATTTTGTCAAATGAAAGTCTCGACAAGATTGTGCAGTTGTGATTCATACATAAATTATATACAGAAGTGTATAAAACAGAATTATTAACAAATCAAAAATCTTGTCTAATGACAATTAAGGCTTAAAAATAAAAAGGGAAACACATAATTGTGCATTACAAAAGAAAAGTATTCTATTATCACCTTAACAGATTGCAGACAAACACTTCTAGACAGTCTATCTACACGCATATCTGGCGAATATATACGCAAGAATACAACAGTTTAAAAGCTCTGGCTAGCAATCACCTATCTTCATTAATCCGTTAAACCAAATGGTCCCTAAAGAAAACAATATTAAAATCGTCATCACACTTTACGAGTCTCTGTATAGAGACAATAATACGCATTTTACATACAAAAAACATAGGTACACTAACAATTATGGCAACGTTGACAATAAATAAGAGAAAGTATTTTATTCACATCGACTAATGAACAAACATGTCCTGTAATTCTTGACAGCACAAATAAATAAAACGAGTAATTACGAAGTGCAAAAACTGGCGCGGATTTTAGAAAAAAATACAAGGCAACAAGTGCAGACTTTAAGTTTTACTAATACCATTATCTATAAATTGTTCTCACTTAAATTAAAAGCCATATTGGCGTATTTTTTTATTAAGCTTGGCTTAATTCGCGCGTTGGTTAATTTTATGTTAGTTATTAAAAGTTACGTCGGCACTTGCCTAGACATGCGAGCCGCTCTGTCGTGGTAACGTTTTCAAAGGTGGGCTATATAATAATTTTGGCAATTGATTAAACATGATTTTAAATTGTATAGCATAACGTCAGAGCGACTTGCATAGCATAGGTGATGTCCCCAACTTTACAATTGTGATATTTTCACAATTATTAAATGTATGGGGTTTCTTGTAATATTGATCGTCTAATGTCGGAATGGTTCGCGTTTCTCCGTAGTTCGAGAAGAGGCCGGAGTCCCGCGTCGTGAGGCAGGCGTGGTCGGGGTGCCTGAGTCTGATGCGTCTGACGGCTTCCTTAACAGCCTGGTTACTGCGGTCTGCTGACCTGACCGGACAGGCGTTGTGCTCCCCGACGGCGTCCTTTGCCTGTTTTAAAACAAATTAAATTAGAAACTCTTCCTATTGATGGGCAAAACATGCAAAGCACTAATCAACTCTAAAAAGAAAAAAAAACATAAACCCATTTTTACCACCAATTGTTCTACATTTCAGAAAACCTACAAAAATTTTGACTACAAGGAACAAAAAACAACAAAATAAAAGCACACTACGTAAGTTTAGTAGTTACCTATTCGTGTTACTGTTAGTATGGTGATCCTTTAATACTGGGATGCGACTTCTGCCGGGCGTTTGTCCTTCAGTAGAAGCAAACGACCCACTCCTATGTTGATGTTAGCGAGCACACAGACAGACAGACATATAGAAAATTAGTCAGGACAACAGAAAAGGAAGAATATGTTAGAATGTTTCTGCACATGTATCTGAACATTTAAGACTGGCATTTCATAAAAAATATTTCTAAGAAAATTCCATACATGTGCAGACACAACAGAAAATAGAACAAAGATACAATAATAAATAGATCATAATTATATATCAATAAGGGTAAGGTTTTGAAAATATTGTAATGTACTCAATACACAAATCCATCAAGTTATAATAGTATTACAAATATTATTCGTGTTATAAAAACTGAAAATTGTTTGATTAGTTTATATCTTTAAATATTAAATATATTACAATATTTTATAGTTCAGACATGATCACGTGACAACATACAGGCAAATTGCACAAGGTGCTGATTTATTTACAAGGAAGCATATGAACGTCGAAGTGGAATGGTGTGGTGTGTGGATATTCCAAAACAGTCGATTGCAGAACATTTTTCGACTTCTTCGATCACTTTGTAAACAGTGCAAAGCTATCAGTTGTTAGTGCTTCAGGTGATGTTAGTATTATTTATTTATGGCATACAGTGATATCAACAACAGGTAACTTGTTTAAAGTGCGATAAACGGACATGAGATCAGTGATTGACAAGCAAATGATCTGACAGATATTATGAGCATGAAATTTTGTGGCGATGACAAGTTTGTATGAAAACATAAATTTCAAAATTCAAAGAGCATCAATCAAAAATAATCGGGCAAAAACCGAAGCTAGCATTCTACAAGCTTGTACCCTTTGACGTCGCGCTGGGTCGGCTTTGACGCTTCGCCGCTCGACTCGCTTATATTACTCTCATATTCATTGTCGCTCGTCATTCCCGATATGCTGAATAGTGAGGAGTCGTCTTCAGGACTTCTCTGCTCTGACTTCCTCGAGGGGCCTTGGGAAGTGGGACTAGGTTCTTGGGAAGTTTCTCTAGAATGCGACTTTCTGGATATTTTTAATCGCCTCTCAACAGATGGGGATCGGTGAGAGCGGTTACCAACGTAAACTGGAATTTTGGTGGAACCTTGTGTTTGGAATGCTGGATGAGTATGGGATAAGGATTTGGGATGTTCGGATGCCATTGATGATGGCTGGGAATGTGTCGAGCTGTTTTATATTGTTTTCCATTTTCGTATTTGCATGCGGGAAGGAAAAAATAATAATAATTTAGTTTAACGCTCTTGATAATTCTGTCGTATTTGTTAGTAAAACCACACTGTGTAAAGCTGTTTAGCTGACTACCTACTTGTAACATGCCTTCGGATTTCCTTTGATACCAAACCTTCAAATAAGTTTATCCACCACCCTTTTTACATAACTATACAAACACATTTGATAGAAACGATAACAACAGACAATATCGTGATCTGGCCCAATACAGGTGCACCCAACATGTCTAGACGTACCCATGACGTCACTACACCTAGTAACCCTCAAGAAGCTTTACGTGCTCAACACTTGTGTATCTTCAATCAATCCTTTTTAAGACGCAAGCTAATCCATTAAATTGGCAATAATTGGTTTGTAATACGTTTCAATAATTATCGGACTCCAAAAAGAGGAGCTTCCCGATTCAGATAATACGTTTTTTATTTAAGCTTTATTGATTAAGTTGCGTCCGCAAAACCAGATACACATTTGACAAACAAGTCAATGGCGAAGTTTGAGTGTGTACCTCACTAATGCCGGCACCGGTGACAGTGTCGGTATACTTGATGTGCGGTACATCCCGCCGGTAGGATACCTGTCCGTGCGTATCAGTACACCGGTTATTTTACAATATTTATGCTATATGTTGACGGGAGAAATGAATGATTGTCCAAGTGTAGTTATAGAAGATGTGACATTGTAGTGTAATTTGTCTTAAATGTCAGGATATTGTACATAAAAATGACGAAGAGGGAACATTCACCTTCAATTTCTCCAACAAAAATATGAATGTAGATTGGTTTTGGTGATTTACATTATACGTCACACTTTATGGAATATGTAAAGTGAGTTTGGGACATAGAAAATTAACCATATCTACATTCATAGCTACATCACAAGAAAAAAAATACCAGTTGTTTGAAGTTACGTACCTTCCGCTAGCTGGGGTTAAGAAACCGGTTGGTGTGCGGGGTCGCGATCCTCCATTGGGTGTGGTCACACCAAGTTTGTTGGCGTTAGCAGCAGCACGTGCTATTGATGTCTTTGTGTTCGTCACCCTACGCATCGGGATGCGAGATGGCGTCGAAACATCATCTAGAGCAAAAACAAATAAATTTAATACACAATCGTAAAAATGTTTGGAAAGAGTATCATACCTGAAATTAGAATTAATATATCTTACCGGTACTATCTAGGGAGAGATTGGATCCATGTCTGGAAGGTGGTTTGGATCCAGCTCGTGATCCTGGCCTAGAGCCTGGTCGAGATCCTCCAGGTGTTAACGTTGACCTATTAATAAAAGAAAATGTCATTAATCACATTGAAATTAAGTTTCTGTAACTATGAAATAGATTATCGACAAATGTATTATGTATTTCATTTTAATTCTTTGACTTACCTTGGCACGCTTGACTTCTTATACCTCGCTCCAAGTCCGCTTGCTGCTTCATTGTCGCTCAAGGAATCAGGTGTACCAGCACTCAGGGAAGACCTTGATGCTCGGCCTGCTACTCCTCCCGCAGACATTGGTACGGAACGAGCTGTGCGTTCTCTTACCTATACATATACAGGGTTTTATTACTAATCCATTCGACGTAAAATCGTGAATTGAATAAAAACAAAACACGCGAGTGTAAGCAATTTTCAAAATGACTTGTGTTTATGTTAATGAACAAGTGACTATTTAAATTGAAGCAGATCTTATGATTATATCAAATCGATACACAGATTACTATAATCATGCTACTCTAGCGGACTTGACATTGTCTACATTACGTACATACACGATGGACTATCACAGTTATCAAATCATAAAGTAAACCTCAAAAATGATTCGAGAGTGCAAACAACGCCACTTTCACACAGCCTACGTAGCATTACCCAATGATATCCTGGAGAGGGCTGATAGCCATGGTGGTGGCTATAGTGGTGCGCCCCCGGCGTGGTGGAACCTTGAGATCTTGAGTGGCCGTATATGAACGCCTGCTTAGTGCCATGTGTTGAACCGACGTGCAGAGGATACGAACACGGAAGCTCCTCCCGTTGACGTAGAGCCTCAAATATGGGCCTCAGCTGCTCCATAAACTCTTCAGCTAAACGCACCAATACAAAACCGGGAGGCTTATTAAGGAAGGAACCGTACTAAACGAAACATTTCGTTTTTGTCTTCATAGTGCCAATCGTTTGTTTTCCGGAACGCGTTTATTTACGACGAATTTTCACGTTGTTACTATTAGTCCACACGTTTAGACGAACGCGAGTGAATTTTGTTGATGCGGGTATGATTGGGGACGAGCGGGATGGGTGAACGAAAATACATTACCAAAACATCCATAGGCGTAGTCGTGCCACCTCTCCAATGCAGTGGGTCCAATGAAATACACTAACAAACAACACCAACACACTACACGAGCCTGTGCATCAATGCATAGCTTGAACACTAATGCAATACGACCAATCTCTACGAGCTCAACACATGCTGCACTCACGACACTGCACCTTGCATATGGATGTACACAAATCCATGTGCAAAGTTCAATAAGAAAACAAAGCGAAAAAAATTGATTCCCAAACCGATTGCTTCCCTCCAACAACTACTGTGCGCTTTTTTACTTGTGCGAAATTATAACTAAGTTCTATCCTGTAGGAGAGAAGATTGATTTAAATATAGCGGTTTGAGTACTTACCTTCATAATAGGTCCAGTGGACGGTGGTGTGTTTGTGTTAGAGCGGGGCGTACGCGGTCTAAACGCTGCCATGCTCTGTGACACTCCATCGGCCAGAATGAATTGCTCTCGTAGTTCGATGTTGGTGCGTCCCTTGGCTGCATGCGGGCGGCGTCCGGTGCGCGGGATCACAAATAGGACAGGATAGGATAAGGTCAAAGAAAACCGTTCGGTAAAAGGATAGGTAGAAAAATAACACCAAAAAGTGTTAAAAAAAACGGGACAGCGTGCATTGGTAGTGAGGAAAAGAAAAAAAACAACAAACAAATCAGAACATGTCAAACATAAACAAACATAACAGAAAAAAGTAATGAAAATATTTACATTCATAAATATTTTGTTGAAAACCGTGCAATGTATGTCTTAAAGTGGAGACTTAATAAATTATTTACATAGATCACAACGATCAATATCTTGCGCTTGAATTATAACCCATTAGTTGCTACCAAATAAAATAAATTTCATAATAAAATACTTAATGCAAATAAAGAACCACTGTCATGCCATTAATTTTATTAAGCAATTTTTTTTATATTTCCCACATATAACCACTACAATAAATTTTATTAATTACATAATTAGTCAAAACCCAAACTACAATAGCATTCTACACATTTGATGGAATAATAAAAGCTGTATAACAATAAAAGCACCAAACGTGTAAAATGTAGAGCAAAATAATTTTACAACATTGCAAAAATAAAAATCTAAGCCACACCAACTAGACGGACTTGCAATGGAACCATTTTTTTTTACAAATTTGGTGTAGTTAAATAAAAAGCCAAAAGTGATAAAGATTTTTAAGAAGGTTCCAATGCAGGTCATATCTCTTACCGAGCGGGCAACAAGCTTCATGCTGCTCCGGCTTGCTCGGGTCAGGCAGCGGTAGCACTAATGATACTACTTATGTAAAGGGATTTTATAGGATTCAAAAAAATATAAAACAAAAAAAATAAACGAATTTTTGATAAGGACCACGGGAGGTGGATTGGGCAAAGCGAATACGAATTAGTAAATTAGTAGCAACATCAAAATTGTATGTGGACATATTTAATGCTTACTTTAGCAATAACGACATTTTTTGCTGATACTAGCTTTTTGTTGAAAAATGCTTCACAATGGGAGTGAAGTGAATAATGTTGGCGGTGTAGGGATTTATTCGAAATACTTCGTGAGTTATAGTGTTTTCTAGTGTGTATATGAAAGTTTTTTAAATTTCAAATTCAATAGTAAATAATTATATCAATGTTTTTTTTAATAAACCAAACAGTAATTATAATAATGTATTATAGTTAATTTAAATACGTAGTAGTTAATCGTTATCGTTATCTAACCGTTATCGTTATTCGAGTTAGCGTTATAACGTTACGTTTTTAGCTGGCAACATCGGTACTGCGCATGTCAAGTACGTCGCGTCGAAAAAGAAAACAAGAACAATGGAAATCACCACCGGTCGATTTTAGTTCATATTGAATAAGTTTTTAAATGTAATCCGCGTGTGAAACGTCTGAAACATGACGGGTACTATAATTGAGAACTTAAGTGGGCGTAAACTCGCCATTTTAGTGAGTTTTCTTATGTTATGTCAGCTAACATGTTTTCTCATCGGTGGTTTGGTCGCACCCATGCCTGCAAACGCTCAAACAATACTCGCAACCGTGTGCCGTGATACTTCTATAATGAAAAATGACACGACCAATTGGTATTACAACCGTGGGAAAGGAGCTTGCAAGAGCATCGACCTTGGTGAGCCGCATCACGATTTGTCAGAGACCGACATTGTTTTCGCATTCCAAATGCCGGGCCCACGGGAGGGTATGGTTCTGGATTACTCGCGGTGGCAACAAAATCTAATTGGAGTGCTGCAAGTGGATATTAAATACCACTCTCAGTTCGAGGTGCCGGCACGAAGCGATATCACAATCGATGCGCGCTTAGCTTACCGTAACAAAGGCGACCCAGAAGATGTGTGGAAGTTCTACACAAAATCGGTAGAGAAACGCAATTTAGATTGTGATATTGATTTGAAAAGTGAAGAATATTTATATAACTGCTCAGCTATCCCATTGTTTGAACTTGGTTCTTTGTTTCACGACTACTACCTACTCAATGTAAGACTCCCTGTTGATTCACCTACTATGAATTCACAAATTGGACATATACAAGACATGTGGTTGACTGTGATCAACCAGAATGGTGGGTTTACTAGAGTCTGGTTGTATTTGAAGACAGTATTTTTCCCTTGCATCATTGGTATATTGGTTTGGTTCTGGCGACGCATCCACATTCTTCAACGGAAGCCTGTCTTACTGGAGAAAATGCTTTTGAGCCTTGGTTTAGCTCTTTGTCTTTTAAATATGCCAATTGAGTACTTGACATTACATTATGATTTACCATTTATGTTGTTATTAAGTGATATCCGTCAAGGTTTGTTCTATGCTACATTGTTTTCATTCTGGCTTGTTTTTGCTGGAGAACATATGCTGATTCAGGACACATCGGCCCAAAGCTCAGTGAAACAGTACTGGAGACATTTGAGTGCAGTGGCACTGGGCTGCATCTCTCTCTTTGTGTTTGACATGTGCGAGAGGGGTGTACAGCTTCGCAACCCTTTCTACTCTATTTGGGTGACTGATCTTGGGACTAACTTAGCTTTGACATTCATCATACTGGCCGGGATATCAGCTGGAGTATATTTCCTATTCTTGTGCTACATGATCTGGCAAGTTTTTACAAACATTTCCTTCAAGAGGCAATCCCTGCCTACAATGTGCTCTGTGCGTCGTCTCCACTATGAAGGGATCATTTACCGCTTCAAGTTCCTCATGTTGGCTACCCTGCTTTGTGCTGCACTCACTGTTATTGGTTTCATTCTGGGACAAGTTGCTGAAGGCCAGTGGAAGTGGGATGAGAATATTGAGTTGGAATATACTTCAGCATTTTTCACTGGAGTGTATGGAATGTGGAACATCTACATCTTTGCTTTGTTGGTTTTGTATGCCCCAAGCCACAAGAAATGGCCAGTTGTTGAGAATACTGCTGATACACAGAATTTGAGTGAGGAAATGGAATTCAGCCCCTTACCTAGCGAGAGAGCCAGTAGTGAGATTTCTTCCCTAACATCCTTCATTAGGAAGGCTACTATTGACTAACCATGCCCATTAAGTATTTCGATAAAGTAATTTTAAGTAATGTTTGCTCTTCCATCTTTTTGATCAATTTAAATTCCATATGTTGGAAATAAAACTTGGGCCAATATTGGCCATAAATCGTCGAAACTTCTTGCCTTTATATGGATCCTTTGGCCCAAATGTTTGCCCCAATATGAGATTAGACGTGCAAGTCACGATTGCGTAATCGGCCGTTGAAATCGCTTCTAAAATACAACTTTACGATAATTATAGTCGTAAATCTTCAAATTTGTACGTTTAGAGGTCGTAAATAGGAGTTCAGGCTTATCGTAGGCGTTAATTAGATATAGTTCGAGAGAATCTCTCAGTATAGGCAATAGGCATACATGTCGACAGAGCTTTTCGTCTCGCCGAACAATATTTTGTACTCAAATATGTAACCGGAAATGTAGTCTGTATTTATTTAGTTTTATCGCTCGTTCGTAGCCATGACTTAGCAGAGCGAAGCAGTAACCATTAGATTTAAGAATATATTTTGAAGACTTAATACTTGTTCTCACTAATAGTTTTTAGATATTTTCTCTTATACAAAATGATTTGATTGATTGAAGTAATATTTTTATGATTGTGTTTTTTAATAGAAGTTTTTAATCATGTATTCTACTTCTTAGAATCCTTAGGCAGCTAAGATTATATCGAGTCATTCTAAAAATATTTTTTACATCGTAAAACAGGTAGATTGACCTTGATATTTCCAGTTTCGTGTCGAGCTTCCAAAAAGTATTTTCGTTAGTGTGTAACCTTATTCTGTGATTTTTATTTTGCATTTTTAACTAAACAGTATTGCTAGATTAAATTAGTTTATTAACGATATTGCCAGCTTACTTAATAATTTATGAAATTAATGTAAGTTTTAATGTGAAATTAATTTTTGTAATCTGTAGTTAATATTTGTACCCGTATAATAAAATTGTATTAAAAATATGAGTTATTTTGTTATTTAAAACGATAGTGAACAAATATTTCGTTTGAAACCTTAATACATAGGGTGAGAATATTTCCGAACGTGCTTTGCATTACCGAAACATCATTTAGGGGTATTTCTATAATGTTTTAAAGAAACACCAATAAATAATGGCACAGAATGAAGGCGCGGTCTTGGAGTATCTTCGCCCAATGTATGAAAATTTAAAAAAATATTTATCCACGAAGTTAGGAACGTCACATGATCACAAATTAGTCAATATATCCCTTATTACGGAGTTAACACATAATACGAAGTACCGAGACGTTTGATTGACACTTTGAATATCACCATACATACCTAATACATACTATAGTATAAAAAAATCGACTACAAGGCATTTTAATTAAACAAGAAACTGAAATCATATTATGACGTCATAATTCAGTCAACCAACTTATTTAGTATGCAAGTAAGGCAATAAAAATCGATTCAGTACAGAGACAGTAAGACTTGGTTGATTTTTAATACGGACTCGACTTCTTTCTAGAGCATAGGTCGAATTGGATACAAGAATAGCTACTGTCTGTTTAAACCTTTATTTTCTTACTTGTATGCATAATAATTTGGCTGAATGTCAGAGCAAGTAAAGGAGCGACGTCACGAGACCCGCGTACCTAAGTTCCCGTATAGTGGCGCCTATGAGCGGCTTGCCTAGAGCGCCCTCTAGACGTACCCGCTCTTGTTGTATGTACTTTTTAAAATGCCTGATAGTCGCCACAACTTTTACAGTGCTTTTGTAAAAAAAGCATTGTAGAAGTTGCCATTAATAATAAATTAGTTATTTATGAAGCCTGTAATCATATAAGGTAACATTTTATTGTTCAATTTGGGAGTATTGGTATTGGAGGTCGTTATTGGCTTCATAACTTAAAATGTAATGTGATAGTTGGGTATAACTTTGTTAGCCTATTTTTACCAACATGATGTTACTTGGACAATACATACGTAAATTGATCCGTAAATTACATCTAACCATATTTAATTATTCAGAAAGTTAAATATTTCACATATTTTTTATCTATCACATTACATTTTTCATACAAATCCATAATTTTGTAGGTATGTAGGTACTTAGTGCTTGAAACATCATTTAGGAGATAATTAGATAGATTTCTTAATAATAATTTAAATTGAGATTTCTTAACAATGAAGTTTCAATTTGAAGGTATTGAATTGAGGATTTCTTTTCTTTAGAAGTTAGAAGAATGATTAAAAATTAAAATAGGTAATGAACTGTCATTTTCAAAAGTCGAACAGTAATAAAAAAAAAGTTTATTAAAAAAATCCTCTGTCACACATTTCTGTTCTTACTGCATTAATTATAAAAAATAAAAGTAAATAAAAGTTAAATTGATTAAACCTAACAAATAGGGTTTTAAAAATTGAAAAACACTATGATATTAACTTTTCTAATTTGAACCTCATAATACGACAAGTAAGGTACAGTACAGGTTGTAGCTGTTTGCAGTAAGACCAAAAATTAAGTACCTACATAAACAACATGTTTAGATTACCGTGGGAATGCAGACAAGTTCAAACAAGGTAAGTTTCACTAGATAAAAGTGATTACTTAACATTTTTACAACTGTCAACACCATATTTGAAACTTCCTCTGTAGAACATATTTGTATTTAGATAAATACTAAATATTTTCTACACAAACGCTTTGAAGTAATTGGTAAAGAATGACATGGAATTAGATTCCCTGGTGGCACAAATGCGAATGACATTAATTCCGAAAATACCCGAAATAACTGTGTCTAGGTATTAAGGATTTCTTTTGTTTAGAAGTGAGTTTGATTAAAATAATGAACTGTCATTTTCAAAAGTCGAACAGTAATGAAGAAAAAAAAATCCTCTGTAGTCTATAAAACTTCTAACATATAAAAGTACCTGTTTATGGTAAATGCTTTGAGTTCTAAGCAAAGAAGTGTAGTTAGGTATTTATGCTCACCATATGATACAATGGACCCAAATTAATTGGACAATGTACCCCTATGTATCCCATGAATATAGAGAAAAAGGTTAATCAATAGCTCCCCTAACATTCTATCTAAAAAAAAACTTAAAACCACTTCCCACGATAATCTAACAAAATAATCTTAACCTTATATATCTTATATATAGCAGTATTCGATATATTAGGTTATATCAAAGGATTATTTTGACATAACGTAATATATCGAATGCTGCTATAGTATAAAGATATATAAGGTTTTGAGTACATATTACTACATATCAAGATGTATTTTTAATGCAGAACTGACTTTTTGATGAAGTTGTCACAATTGACAGTCGAGCATTCATAACATAAGTTATGGGGCCATTTTGAACACGTCTCCGATATTTTGAACACTATGTATTGAGCGTGCGATGTATTGAATGTTCAGTATAATAATAATAACCATGCGATATTTTAAAAAGATTTTTCTCACCTTTTAAACCATTCCTGAACTTCTACAAATAATTTAAGACGAAGTTACGTCGAAGAAGTTACGTCACAATGTGCTACAAAATATAGTGTTTTGTGACGTCACACGATAATTCAAATTAATATGTTGGCGAAAGTATTTAATTTTGTGAGAAAAGAAGATGTACGTGTCTAATGTTTTAAATAAAATTAATCTACCGTCTGGTAAAGACCGTCTGGACTTTATAAAAAAAATTAGGAAATTACCCTATTGTTTTGACTTGAAAAAAGAATTCTTTAAGAATAACTCTTCATGACAATAACTGGATCTTGATATATAGCAATAAGTACGTGTGTATTCATTAAATCTAACAAACATTACAATCCCAAGACAAGTAATATTAATGTTCCAATAATAATCAAAAACACTCAAAACTACATCTTATATCAAAGTGCATAAAGCTCAATTTTCAAATTTACCATAACCTATGGTTATATGGGTATATCATCATTACCTAACTGTAGGGTAAAGGCATCATTTCTCAAAAATAAGGTAAATGTACCATTACACAGTCAACTTGTCTTAGTAAAGTAATGTTTACGTTTAATAATAAATCTTAAGACCCTATTTCCCTTTAAAAATGAATGGTACGTACCTCTGCAAGGGTCGTTCTTGACCAGGAACTCGTCGAGGGCGACCCAACCGCCACCGACTCGTACCATCACCGTAGACCGGAGGATACGGACTAGACGGAGTTTCTGTGAGTCTCCGAACTGTTTGGGAATAAAAAGAAAGGTTAGGTGTTGTTTTTTATATTGTTTATATTGATATACTAGCGGACCCAACATACGTTGTCCTGCATATCCACTTGAATGTATAAACAAAAATTAATTCAAATTAGTTCAGCTGTTTAGGATAAATAACCTAAACATCGACTGCAGCGCTACTGCCGGGCTGATTTGTGAATCTAAACCGTTCCCAGATCCCCTTGAACGCACACAAAAAATTTCATCAAAATCGGTCCAGTCGTTTGAGAGAAGTTCAGTGACATACACACTCACAGAAGAATTATATACATATATAAAGATTGATTTTTAAAATGTCGTGGTGGCTACGCCCGCATTTCATACACGAGAGTGCGGTTCGATACCTACCAACAGCAAGTACCAATGTGACTTTTTCCAAGTTATATGTACTTTCTAACATTATTTAGACACCACTGACAAACGGTGAGGGAAAACATCGTGAAGTAAATATATATAATTTTGAATTCGCCAACCCACATTAAGCAAGCTTGGTGATTGATGCTCAAACCTTCTCCGTGCGAGAAGCGACCTTTGGTCAGCAGTGGGCACTTATAAGCTGATGATATAGATTTTTATATAGACCAAGAGGTTTTAGAGTCAATTTTGATACTTCCATTGTTATAACTAAGTTTGGACATTTTTTTTTACTAACTTTGCCTAGATATTTGGCTTTTACTTACACGTTATACCTCGACTACCTAATAGTTCAGATTTAGATAATCCAGATTACACAATATTTGTTTTGTGTGGGAATCGAACCCGCGATATATTATACAG